CTTTGCGATTAAAGAGTTTATATTTCTAAATATATATCATCAGAAAATACTGAAAATTCGCTCTTTAAAATACATTTATGCAAGTTTTATGTACAGTATGAAATAAATAAATAAATTTTTTAAAGTTTCAGAAATTGCATTTTATTTACATAAAATTCACAAAGAACTCAAGCATTTTCAACCGGCTTCAAAAAAGGGGCGGTTATCAATTCTTCGGAGTATTTTTTCTTCTTTTATGTATTCCACCGCATAACTTTGGACCGATGAACCGATTCCAATAATTGTTTTTTTTTTTCCGGAAAAATGGTACCTTAAGGGTCCGTAATTTGGTTTAGATCCGATCATTAAATCATGAAACAATTAACGGTGCTTAGAAAGTACTTGTTTAATAAAAAGTTTTACAAACACAAGATGCACTCAACTTTCAAAAGTAATACAAAATTTTACAAAAGAATTTTAATATAAATAAATTAAGTAATTCAATGAACTTTTTACACCTTTATATTCATTTTCGCCGATTTCTGGTTTCTAGTTTTTTTTTTTAATACTTCGAATAACGAAAATTTAACTGAACTTGTATTTCAACCATGTAGCTCATTTTGGTGGAACGAATTCCAAGTTAGCAAATTAAATCTTCGAATGCTTGTTAAGTACGTATCAGTGGTAAACTTTTTTAGGCTGTAAAGTGTAAAAAGTAACAGTAAGTGAGTATGCATTGCATATTTTTAGGACAATGTTTTCATTCGCAGTTAAACTTTAAAGAGCTCTAAAGAAAAAAGAAAATTTCTTACAAAATGACGCACAAGGAATGGAAAAGAAATTTACTTCTATAAAAATTTCTTAAATCATAATAAATTTAACCCCAAAACCCATCCCATTTGTGCGCTACTTGACAAATTTGGTATGTAAAAGTAAACAGACAGTGTTTAGTTTTGCACACACTAGGAGGGGAAACTGGTTACTCTCTTTATATGCGTAAATTTAAACGAAAATTGTTTAGGGGAAATTTTAAACAATTTATGTGTAAACTGTGAAATTGTGATTAATAAATGTTTAGAACTCAAAAAACAAATTTGAAATTTGTTCTACGCCACACATATGATAAGTAAACATAAGCAAGCAGTTTTAAATTAAATAACAAGGTATGTAAATTTGCATTAATTAAGAGAGGAGACTGGTTACTTATCCTAATATGCGCAAATTTAAACAAAATTTTTTTAGAGTGTACCTTATGTTATAACACCTGCAGTCCTCTACGTACATATACACATATGTGTACAATGAGTTAGGAGAGCTCCATATTGGGAAATTAACGAGAAATATTACGCTTTATCAAACCAATAAAAACATTTATCTATATCCAGACAGAAAATGAAAATGAAAATGAAAATGAAAAAGTGAATGACTATGTAAATTTTAGAAATACACTTAAATTCATTGAACACACTCGCAGCAAGAAAATACGAAAAGGAAAAGGAGTCAAAATGTTATTGCAAATCTGCTGCTGACACTTATGATTTGAGAAATGTGTTGCCAGGACAAAGGTTTGCAAGCAATGCAGAGTGTGTAGGTTATTGCCATAGTAGCATGTAATGGCGAATTTAACAAGCAGAAACGAAATGAATAAAAGAGCATAAAATGACTGAGATTGTTTGTTTATTATAATTTAAAAGCTTAAGGGAATAAATGGAGTAAGAATAGAAGGGTTTTAGCAGTATAGCTTCTAAGTTAAAATATGCTTTGCTGAACGCGTTTTGTTGGTAAGAAGTGCGTGTAAATCATAAACAAACGATCTGAAATTAATAATAATAATATTTTGTCGCTTTTCTTTTTTCTAAGTGTTTGGCCGAGCTTCCCCTCCAATTTGTGGTGTGCATTTTGATGTTGGTACACAAATGGAGTGGCCTACAGTTTTACGCTGCCTCTGAACGGCAAATGGATTTTATGAGAAACATTTTCATGACATTAAATCTGTAAATAAATTTCAGGTGTTTAAAATATCAAAAACTATCACACGACCTGAGTATTTTATATAAGTAAAAACCCTTCCCTTTGTATGTGACAGCCAATGAATTCACCAGTCTTACTTGCTATACCACATTATTTATATACAATTCACGAATTTCATGCGCCACTCAATGAAATTCGAAAAAATTTACAAAGGAAAAATTCTCCGGGGCCCGCATTACTTACATATGTACACACATTCACACATTCTCGCCTTCGCCCACTTCCTACGAGCTGACACACGGCGTATACGTAACTTGAGCGCTAATTAAGACAATTCTACCACAGCCACAACAATAGCAGCAGCAACACTTTGCGGTGTACTTTTTATTAATTAACCATAAATATTATAAAACAACAGTATTTTGCACGACAACAACTCGAATATTAACATCACGGACAATGTTGTTGTAGGCTGTTGAACAAGTGAAAAAAAATGTCAAGTGTACGCATGCCGCTGCGTATACGCAACATAGTCAACGCTTGTAGCTGGCGAGCACTTGATATGCTTCCGCATGTGGATATGTGCAAATGAGTGTGGTAAATGCCAAAAGAGCACATATTTTATGCATAATTACCAGCGACACATTTGTATGCACTTGTACATACATACATACTAGCTATATTTTCATACACGCATATGCAAAAACAGCAAAAAGAGCGCAGAAAATATACCAAAGTAAAGAAATGATAAATGCTGCTGGTTTGCATGACTTTACGGTTAGGTTGCGCTCACTCGCCGATTTCATGAGCATGCAATTTGAGTAAAAGCGCGTGACTAATGGGGCAAGAAAGTGGCGTTCAAAAGTGTATACGTATGACTATTAATATTGCAAATTATTTATAGTATATATATGTATGTATATACATTAGGGTGGTCGAAAAACATTAAAGTCGAAATTGTAATGCTCTCACCACCTAGAATTGTTCTATATCGAAAAAAAGTATACCCCTATTTTTTCAAAATTTAGAGGTCGCTCACAGCGCGCAAATATTTTTTGATTTCAATATAAAAAATTAGGGTATATTTTTTGCGTATAGAACAATCCTAGGGTGCGAGAGCATACAAGCTCCGACTTGCAATTTTGGACTACCCTAATATAACGGGTGATTTTTTTGAGGTTAGGATTTTCATGCATTAGTATTTGACAGATCACGTGGGATTTCAGACATGGTGTCAAAGAGAAAGATGCTCAGTATGCTTTGAAATTTCATCATGAATAGACTTACTAACGAGCAACGCTTGCAAATCATTGAATTTTATTACCAAAATCAGTGTTCGGTTCGAAATGTGTTTATCGACAAATTTTGTTCAGCGATGAGGCTCATTTCTGGTTGAATGGCTTCGTAAATAAGCAAAATTGCCGCATTTGGAGTGAAGAGCAACCAGAAGCCGTTCAAGAACTGCCCATGCATCCCGAAAAATGCACTGTTTGGTGTGGTTTGTACGCTGGTGGAATCATTGGACCGTATTTTTTCAAAGATGCTGTTGGACGCAACGTTACGGTGAATGGCGATCGCTACCGTTCGATGCTAACAAACTTTTTGTTGCCAAAAATGGAAGAACTGAACTTGGTTGACATGTGGTTTCAACAAGATGGCGCTACATGCCACACAGCTCGCGATTCTATGGCCATTTTGAGGGAAAACTTCGGAGAACAATTCATCTCAAGAAATGGACCGGTAAGTTGGCCACCAAGATCATGCGATTTGACGCCTTTAGACTATTTTTTGTGGGGCTACGTCAAGTCTAAAGTCTACAGAAATAAGCCAGCAACTATTCCAGCTTTGGAAGACAACATTTCCGAAGAAATTCGGGCTATTCCGGCCGAAATGCTCGAAAAAGTTGCCCAAAATTGGACTTTCCGAATGGACCACCTAAGACGCAGCCGCGGTCAACATTTAAATGAAATTATCTTCAAAAAGTAAATGTCATGGACCAATCTAACGTTTCAAATAAAGAACCGATGAGATTTTGCAAATTTTATGCGTTTTTTTTAAAAAAAAAGTTATCAAGCTCTTAAAAAATCACCCGTTACATATATGCTATTAAAGCACCAAAATAGTAATAAACACATACATTCTATATACGGAAACTATTGAAAAATGTAAGGACAGTGCTGTAGCTGACGTTTTACGCTTACTTTTTCATAATAGAACTTTTTTTTCAATTTTTAGGTTTTAACACAAAATAATTTTACTAAGAATTAAAAACTTAAATATTTGCCTTTTTAAGCATACAGTGGTAGAAAAGTAAGTGGGGACACGACATTTTAAAAAACTTTTCCTATTTTTCTTTTGTCTATTTAATATTTATTATTTTTTAAAAAGCATAGCTCACTATCTAAAAAAACCATATAAATTCATATTTCAAACTTTGTCCAGAAATTATAAAAATTCTGCAAAAATGCGTCTAAATTTTAAAATTTTTTAGATTTTTTTTGAGTGGGCAGTTTTATAGCCCATTCAATTTTAATATAATAAAGTGCAGGTTTGAAGATCCTAAAAATTTTAGGCGCACGCCACAAATATTTTTTTTTTGAATTCATTAAAATTTTAAATGTGGAACATAAATTGTACATGTATTCTAAACCAAGCAATTGCATACACACAAATTATTTACTTTCCAGCCGCATTAATCTTTTCTAGCTCCTTCAATATTTTTTAATTAATGAATCTACGAAAAGCAATTATTTAAAATGTGCCAGTTGTGTACAAAAACAAAAAAAAAGAACAAATAACAACATAAGCCAGTTTAATTATTGTAAATGGAAAGACATTGCGGCTGACTACGAAATGTAATAAATTAAGCGGAAGAAAATTGCCGAACGACACTCAGAAAACCAATTTATTATTTGGCGTTAAAAATTTCCAGTCGCGGCAAAAAGTTTTAATTTGCAAATTTTCACTAAATGTAAAACAATGGCACTATGTTTCGTTAAATTAGAAAAAAATTGCATCAAAATGTTGAATATAAAATTTGTGCTACTTACAATGTTTTCAAAGAATTTCCAGCGGGGAATAGATTTTCGGCCAAGCTAGAGATTTTATTTTCATCCAAATAGCTGGAAAAATTTGAAATAAATAAAAAAATTATATAAAAGGAAATAATCGCACATATGGTATTTTTTTTAATTTCACAAAATTCTAAATTCTACAAATGCAAAAAAGATACAAAAATCGTATGAAAGTTGAAAAATTTGTTTTTAATTTGTTGGGTAATTTTTTTTTTTAACATAAGAAAAAAATAAAAATTTTAAACTTACATAAAATACTGGTATTTCACGTTTATTTTATTTTAATTTTTATATTTTTTTTGCTAAGAATTCACTTTGAGCAATTCGCTTTCAAAACAAAAGATGAATAGGTACCCAGTAATAACATATAATATATTTAAATACACTTACAGGGTTTTTAACGGTATCTCCGATAGTCTTCTGAAGGCAGACGATGCCAAGCGTTCGATGGAGCAAAATTTTAAGACCCTGAAGAAAGAAGAATAAAAAGATGAAGGCAATTAAAAGTAATGGAAACATTTATTTTAATATTTGAAAAACATATGTCAATATAATATATATAATGCAAGCTAAAAGACATTTAAAATTTTAAAAACATATATTTTTTTTAATTTCAAATGATAAAAACCTAACGAAATAAAAAAATAAAAATTTTTTATTGCGTAATAATAAGATTTTTTAAAAACTAAGATTTTCGTAAAAAACCAGAAGCAGGAGCTCTAAAATTCTTCAAAAAAAATTGGATGCCAAAATTTGTTTAATCTTTTTGTCGGTTGGGGTGATGTATGCCTTTATTAAGGTGGCACCAGCAAATTGCTTACAACTATTTACATTTATATAAATAACAAATTTAGAAATGTCAAAAATTGCACCTAATATATATCTAGGAATATTTAAAAAATATTCAAATCGAAAGTAATTACACATTTAGACGCCTTTTGCAAATCCCCTATCAGTTCACTGACAACAAAGCAAGCGGATTCAAATCACAAAAATGTAAGTGAATGTGAAAGGGGGAGCATCAAATATGTGATTTGAAACCGAATCCACAGGGAAATTTGTAAATGTGAAATTGGGAGCACGGCCCATAATTTTTATTGAGTATATTCATTAAAAAAATTTTGGAAAAAAAAATTTGCACTGCACTCGATATAGCATACCATTTTTGAATTAAAACTAAAAATGAATTTCTAAAATTTTTATAAAATAATAAAAACTATCTTAATTTCAAAATTAAATAAAAATGAAAACCAAAATTTAGAGAATAATGGGGAGTCATAAAAAACTTAAAAAAATCACGAAATTTCCAAAAACATAATTTAATATGTATGAATTTTAGAATTTTTTGTTCTTGAAAAGAAATGTAAGGGAAATCCGATAACCAGCAACACATAAATCCACATTTCAAACTTCGTAGACAATTTATAAAATTTTAAACTTTTTATTAAAAATTTGTTGAGCATTTTCTTCCACATAAAGTATGCTCGACAATTACTTTTATATGGAAGAAAATACCTGGCACCGTCAGCAGTAAAATTATTAAAAATCAAAGCGACTTTTAGCATTTTAAAATTAATACTGCGTCCGTAAAATTTTTCTAAAAATTTCTAATAAAAAGTTTAAAATTTTTTGGTGCAATTGTTAAAGTTTGTGAATTTTTATAATTTTTGTAAGAAGTTTGAAATGTGGTTATGTAATGTGCTAGACTTTCATAAAAAAATTATAAACATTAGATAAACAAAAGATCAGCTGACCACAAGTGTATGTACATAGGCTTTTACACGCATACATACATATGTATGTAGCTCTTAGTATTTATTAGTAGAATTTCTGCTCTTTGCTCATTTGTAACTTGGAAAGTGCTCATAAAACTCATTTCTCCATTAATCCTTTGTAACTTCACGACCACAAATTCTCCACTACCTTTGATCCCTTGCCAATGTAAGTATTCGAGCTATACTACATAATATTTTTTACCATTTTATTAAAAAATACGCCACACACATTTACACTATCGCAAGGACAAGGACATTTTTCAGAATTTAATTTTAAATTTCTACGCTCGAGGACATACTTAGCATATTTGCCAATGGTTTTCAACAACATACCAACAACGCATTAGCATACGAGTATAATAAAATCAAAAAGCCCCCTTGTAAACGAATATATTAAGTAAAGTGCACAATTTTATTTTAAATATTTTTATATTACATAGTCATCTATGTAGCTATATACATATGTACATACAGAAGTGTGTGAACCTACGCATGAACGACTGATTTTTCACATGTGTACCCTATTCACTTACATAACTTTGTTTGGGTTGTAAGCTTTGTCTGACAGAAATGCATAATAAGTGTTTGCAATTAAAACTAATTTTAATTTTCATTTTAAAGTTGGGCGGACATAGAAACACACAGGCGATTGAAGTTTGAAAATTTCTAGCACGAACAACATAAATAGTTAAATAAAAGGAAATTTAGTTAATTGAAACCAGGAAAAAGTGGTGCTGGCATAAAACTAAAAGTTAGCTGGCGGAATAAGTGCCGGAGTTGGTAAAGGGATTTACTCTTTTTTTCTATTTTCTCAACTGAAATTGCTTTGAAGCAGAAATAATTGGTTTAAGCTTTGACTCTGATAGCGTACAGCCACTGCGAAATAGCAGAGCAAAAATTTGTAGAAGAGGTGGCTGGAAGAGACTTTGCTCTGAGCTGGTTCACAGGAGCTCCGTACGCTTATTAAGCCACAGGATGATTAAGTGGAATCACTTCACCACTTTCTTCTTATCTGCTGGTCCTTATAACGAACCCCGAGAAACTTGCCGTCTCAGTGGTTACCATTCAAAATCAATCGGTATGACAAAGGACAATCTCTATAATGTGCAAGCGTGTCTGCGACTGCGGTTGACCACCATAATATAGCATAAGATAACCTAACTCAGTCAAAGGCTGCTATATTGGAGATATGATCCCTCACAAAGCCGACGATCATTTTCTGTATAAGCCAAGATATTTTCAGAGGTAGTGTTGATTGGATGCTGGAACCATTGTTTAGAAGGACACAAACGCGTGGGCAGTTCAGACAGGGAAGTGGATGGGAAATTTTTAGTTCAAATCGATCTCCGGGATCTTGTAATCAACAATCTTTATGTTCAATCGCCGTTCTGTAAGAATGAGGCCATGGACATTTTCAATCAATTGCCGCTTGCTAGTTGCTCTGGGATTTAGGGCACTTTTAATTGTTTTCCAGAAGTTAATCGCGGATTTATTGATTTATTTGTTTATTTATTTCGCCTTGGTAGAGAATTGTTACAGAAACGAGCTACTAGGCTCAATTACGGTCCGCTCAAAGCTTCTTGGTGAATGCCTTAATTCGCTTTCGATAGCGTTAGAATATTATTTTGTCAGACTTGTGGGTGTGTGCCAGGCCACAGCGATATCGCAGGAAACTGTGCGGCTGATGGACTGGCCAGAGGCGGTACCCTCTCTTGCAAAGATGGACCTCGTTTCAACTCAGCGAGCGCTGGAGTAAAACCAGGACATGTGCTATGGCAAGGTCTTTCTGGTCGAGGGCAGACCAGGGGTGGTCTAGGGTTCTCCTTAGGCGGTCTCTCGATCCTCGTTCTGACAGGCCATTGTTCTTTCGGGGTTCATGCTGTGAGATTAAAGATCTTTCCAACCGCCTTTTGTCGCCGCTGTATGGAGGCCAATAAGGTGGAATCAGCTCAGCTTTTCCTCCTAGACTGTCCAGCTTTTGCTAGATTGCGTCTTAGGCACTTGGGTTCATACTTTCTCACAAGTCCGAAGGACGCCTCCAGCACTAACATAACTATGTTATTAGTCGCGCCTGCTATTCTTTTAGAGATTTTTGGGTATCAAAATAAGGCAACGAAAATTTTCAGCATAGGATTCAGTGCCTCGAAAAATTTGCAAGAATTTTCTATTCTCGGGCGTTGGAAACATTTTTTGTGTATTGCACTGAGGGGAAAAAATATTAAAATCAATCAGAAACGTAATTGATCTTACTATAAACGCCAACGAAAGTATTGTATATTGGTAAATATTTAATTCAATAACGCGCATATTAAAATGACCGCGTCGAAAAGTTTTCTAAGGATTCTGGTTAAAAAAAAGTTTGAAATTTGGTTGACAACTTTTTTGTTTGATTATTATTTTTTTTGAAATTTGTATAAGCTTTGAAACTTTTCTTTATGTGGTATCTGATATATACCGACCCATATTTTAAATGAAAATTATTAACAATAAATAAATAAAGATAAGTTGCCAACAGCATAATTTTGAATTTTGCTGCTATTATTTTGAACGCCACTATATGTGTATATGCACATTTCTGAATGTTAACTTTAGCTTTTTGTTCATTAAATAACATTAACAATATTTGTACATTTATTTCTTTTGCATACTTACAGGCTCTCCACCATTGGCAACTGCGCGATAAAATGCTCATCGATGTAGGGAAAATTATTTCCGGTCAAATCGCTGTAACGGAAAGCACCAAGCAAAAAATAGTAAAATATTAATGATTAAGCATAATTTCGTATGACAGTGAATGTGTTAATTAATTTTTAAATTAATAAAAGCAAGGTAGTGGTAAAATGTAATGACAGGCGTGCAGGTAATGAACAAGTTTTGTACAACACATTGTAAAAATAACAATGCAGAAAGCGTTTTGCATGAGCGCGCAGCACTTAGCAGCCGGGTTGACAGCAATCGAAAGTTTTAAAAGTAATTTATTAAATAACAGATGTACTATTTTTTTTGCACTCCATACAGACATTCTTTGAATATGGCAACTTTTTTTATAGGCGAGGAAATTGTTACTTTGCTTGACAACAGGCAGTAATGATATTGAAGATTGATAGGGCAAATGTTACTAACACTACCCAATATGCACAAAGCAAACATTTTTCCTACTTTTTTTAAATTTTTGAGAAATTTTTGATTCTCAAAAGGAGCTCCAAAATTTCTCTCCAAAAATTTTTCCAAGGTTTGACTAAAACTTGAATACAATTTGAAGTCAAATTGATATTCAAGCTTTTCTCAAGTGGAGAACTCAGATTATTTTCCATACAAAAAATGTGCCCTTTGGTTAGAGAATGGGTTGGTTCTCCAATAGAGGTACACTGGAAAATCTCCACTTGATCTCCAACCCAAATGTTTATTGGGTAACGTGAGCAATTGGTGTATGAGTATTGTATGTGCGTATGTATGTATATGTGTGTCTGTGTATATTTGTATCTCCAATTCATACTTACAGCATCGTCAATTCTATGGTCGGCAAATTGGGCGGTATTGCCGTTAGCTGTTGGAAGCGACATAAAATTTCATCACCACGACAAAGGCAGCTAAAATTGCTTGGGTACAGCCAATCTGCGGAAGGAATGGAAAACAATTGAGGGCGAAATTACTTACAGAAATAACACGCGAAACCATACAAAGGCACAATAAATAATTAACGACAAAGTAGCCCAGTAGATGAATACGCTGCCAATTAGCGGCGTGAAACGTGTTTGCCATTAGTAAATCAAGCGGAATTGAGTTCACAATAAATGATAATATATAGCAACTAAAAACTAAAACAAAAAAAAACATAGAAAAAATTGTTGCGCAGAAATTAATAAACAAACGCTAAGCGCCAGCGTCGCGATGTCTTTTCACTCCGGCATTTGTTTGGGGGTGAGTGCGCAGCAATTAGCGACAACAATTGTTAATTTAACTGACACTCAAAGCAAAGAGGCAGACACACACACACACACATGTGCACAAAAACAATATCTTACACTTACATATGTACATATACGAGTACTATTCTCATTCTCACTTACCGCACGTCTCCACTGGCACATCATCATGCCGTCCATAGGGCTGCTTGCGAAAGAAGTGATCCCAAAATTTCGCATCCACATCATTGACGCAATTCCACTCATCGGAGGCATCATCACAATCCGCCTTTTCGTCACAGTTCAGCCGCTGTGGCACACACTGCGCTGATGTGTTGCAATGAAAGTAACCTATTGGGCAATTGTCCAATGCATCGGGTGTTATAATCATATCCGGCGCAAATTCAATGGGCGGCATAATGGCGGCGGCTATACTGGCGCTTGCTGCTGTTGTTGTCGTTGTTGTTATGGTGGTGGTGGCGGCAGAGTGTGTGAGTGGTAGGAATGTGTTAGCGGGCGCGGGCAGCAGAAAAACTGTGGTGAGAAATGAGAAGGAAATTAAATGGGCCATATCAGAGACAACGAGAAGAAGTAATAGAAAAACAAATTAAAATTATAATAACAAAATGTCTGAAGTATTTGTGGCAAGCTTGTTACGCATATGATTCAAGCTCATTTGAAATTTTAAGCGCTATATCTGTTCCCGTTTACGCTGTACTCACCACACAATTATTTTTCTTTTTTGTTGCAAGCAAAATGCTTTTCAAGTTTTTCCTTTTATTTTGCATTCCTACGAAACTGTGTTTATTTTAACTGTTCCCACTTGATCTGTTCTCTATTTTTTAACTCGTTTGTTTTTTTTTTATAACGATACTAAGATTAATTAAGTTTGACTTTACTACAGTTTTCACTTTATATTCCCTCATTTTAACTGTTCTCACTTTTCTTTTCTTTGGATTTGCTTCTACTATTTTCTTGACATTCGTCCACAAGTGTTTCTAGTGAAAGTGCTTTAATTTAAACTTTTCCCAACATTAAGTTTTCACCATTATACAGTTTTGTTGAAAGTAGATTCAAATAAAAGTGTTCCCATCCCAACTTTAAACTGTTCTCAATGTTTGTTTTTTGATCTCCTTTCAATTCTTACGCCCAGCCTCCACCCTCAAAACTGTAGTTTTGATGTAGCACTGATCGACTTTCGCAATTTCCGAAAACCCTCCGACTAGGAAAAAAAACAAGAAGACCAAGGAGATACTGCAGCAATACGACCATCCAAGCAATTGAATTCATCTCACTCGAATGTGACACATTTCAGGGCAGCAAAATTGGTTATTTTTGGCTCGAAATAAAACCATCAACTTGCCGCTGTCATTCCCCATTGCCAACACTTTCCTTCGCACGCTTTCCACCTACACGTGCCAACAAATATCCATAATTTGAGCCAGTGAGCAAACAGTGTTGACAAATGTTGGCGCCCGCCTATCAAGCAACCGCACACTCTACAACGTCACAAATGGCCAAGTGAGCGCAAGGATGAGACAGACAAACAGACATACGCTCGCCCACTACAGCAATACTTTTAAAGTAATTTCCTTTAATATGGAATGTAATGCTTTCTTCTTGGAGCACATTTAATATTTCAATAGCACCCAATAGTTATTGTTGCAATAATGTAGAGTACAAACTTGGCTATGGACATACAATCATTTATTTAGTATTTTTTTTTTTTTGCGTTTGCGTTTGCGTTTGCGTTTGCACTTTCACCCGCATGGCAATGCATTTTGAGTGCAATGACGTCGTGTCTAAAGCTTAGCCATTACTTTATTGCTACTTTAAGCGAGTAAATGTAGAGGACATTGGCTACCAGCTGGAGTTGAATTACCAGCTCCCTGTTACTGCTGTTGGTGATTTTTCATTTTTTTTTTTCCTTTTTCCTAGCTACTCAGTTATGCATTACTCGGCATTAGACAACTCGCGCGTCCGTCCTCAGCACGTGTAATGCTTTCCATTTGGCATTTTTATTGCTCTTATTATGGATTTTCTTTCAATAAAGCCATCCCTTTCGGTTGGCTAAGTATTCACTTGCGGTTTCCCTACGATGACAACGCGGCGCCTCAAGTGCTCTTTCTGAGGCAGCCCTTTGCTCGTACCTCCTTCCTTAGCATGTCCTCGCCTTTTATCGCCTTCAGCTGCTGCTTTATTGCTACACCACTCACCGCTTTGTATAATCGTGAAATATGTGCAATGCCCACATTTGTTTCCTCCCGTTTGCGTTTATTGCTTCCTCATTTTCTACCCTCTTCTTCTCACCCCTTCTGACCATCTTCAGCTCTAGTTACCTCTCAATCGTTCACTACTCACACTTTTATATCGTTTTTATAGTTATCCGCGCTTTATTTACTTTTCCCGGATCGTTAACATTCCACACCACAGTTCTATCTTTCTTTTTTTTTGTCTACTTGCGGCTATTCTTATCCGCGCTGTTTCCAATTGTTTGCGTACTTCTTTTTAGTTTTCTGTTTCTTTGGCCTACCCACATTCTCCACTCTTCCAACAAGCGTCTTCCAGCACTTCGCTTTCCGCATGTCTGACCAAGGTTATGCTGTCTGCTTGTCTGCTTTTAATTTCAGCACTTCGCCAGCCATGCTTTTTCTTTATTTTGCCATAAAAATTTGTTATCGTAACGACATGGCCGGCCATAAACATGTGTAAGTATGAGAAATTTGTGCACATTCCTTCTTACATCAATATAAATTTTTGCAGGTGAGCTCGTAAAAGCATCAGTGATTTTAATGACTTTTCGTTGCAGTCAGATTTTTGAGGCTTCGAAAATGAATTAAGGCGAATTTTACAAATAAAGACGGCGTAGAAAATTTCTTCCTTCTAGCAAACTGGAAGGAAAGGCATGGCAACTAAGAAGAAGATTTTACATAGTAACACTGGATGCAGGCAAAAATTGTCCAGATGCTGTCCGCTTCCAAAGAGGAAACCTTATTTAAAAACCTCCGGCCTGTACTTTTGACTGAAGCTAAAAATTTAACGGAAAGTTCAAGGGGGTAAATCATGGACGAGTTTTGCCTGCTGAAATGAGCCTTCGATTCGATACCACTGAGCGGTCAACATCAGCTGATGAAGCTCTTCAGTCTTGTCACAAACCGGTAGTGCTCCCTAAGGTATGCAGCATACGATTTTTAAACTGCCTTCCCTTTTCCGCCTACTCAGCATTCGCTTGTAATTCTCAGCTTGATTATAAAATACTTTTTAAGGCGCAATCAGCTGTTGTCCAAAAATCCTGGTCATTAAAATCCAAAGAGGAGTAGATGAAAGGGGACACTTATTACTTCTCCAGTGATTATTCCGAACTACGCATTTCGATTAGAAAACTAAATACTGACTGAAAGTTTACTACCAAGCCAACAGAGCACAATTAATTACTCTAGGCTTCTCTCGTATTACTTCACGCTTTCCGACACTCAATTAAGTCACTTCTCCCCAATAACGGCCATACCCGGCCCTTTGGTTATTCTGACTAGAAAAAATTGCCTAAAGAGACCGTATAAAATAGCTTAAAGGCTTGGAAAAAAAAACGTTAGAAGTTTAAATCTGCCTCCAAATTGTTTTTCAGTAGCTATTTCCTTTCCATGAATGGCATATCATTTCCTCTCTAAGCCGAAAGCTTGGCTTCGAATATGATTTAACCCTAAATATTCTTCTAATCTTCTTAAAAATGGAGATCTTTTTAGGAAAACTAAAGTGCACAGTAAATCCATAGTTCGCGTGCTTCACATTAGTACGGCTACCTTTCAATCTTTTTAAATATTCTAACGGAATTTTGGCTTCTTATACTCATACATTTTTCTCCGAAAGGCCTTTCTTTAAGGGAAATGTCTTAATTCCTGAAACTTCTAAAAACTCTTTTAGTTGGCATTTTCAGATATTTTTAAGCAAGAGGCTTTCGCCGGTTGCCTTAGTCCTATAATGACCAAAACATAGCCTGCGGGCAAAGCTTTTATATGGGCGCGCACACAGTAAAAGCACTCCTGGTCGTCGCTGCTTTAGTCTCACTTGTATGTGAAATATGCCGACACTTTCCTAATATACCGTAAGCGCTCTCTTTCTCTGTCTCTCAGAGTTGGCCAATTTATAAGCCGGGAACGCTCGACTTTTTTTGATTTGTTTTTTGATACGCTTAATATTAACAATAAGCTTTTGTTCTGTACACGTCAATATAAAACTTATACAACCTCTATAAAGCTTTAAAAAGCTACTTCCGGGGCCGTTATTTGATCGGTACTACTTATAAGGGTTATGGTCGCCGCGTTGGCCATATGTAGAGCTTATTTGAGCTTTATATACACCTTTTTATGGAGAAAATCACACAAGAGTGTGCCCGAGATAAATACGATTTATATACTATAGACGGCGCAACGTAAAAGCTCTTTCTAGCCGTTACTATTATACACTGACGGGCAGAGGATAAAAGCTCTAACTGATCAACTCTGCGCTAATCTCTTTCGCCCTCACACTCACTTTCTCCTTGTCTTTGTCTCTCTCCATCTTTCGTCCATTTTCCTGTCTCTCTCCAACTCTTTTTTATCAATACTAGATTTCCTACCGACCTCAGTAAATAAAACCATTTTCAAGTTCGCTCGCCCGTTTCAAAATTTTAATCTTTTAAACAAGTAAACGCGTGGCGCAGTAAAAATTCAATTAATAAATTTTCAGTTCGTTGGTATGTACTTACAAAAAAAAAATATAGCAAAACGTAAATTTTGTTGTACCATTAAGTAAATTAATCAAAAGTCAATGGCAAGACCGATCAACAGTGGCGGCATTTAAGAGCCTGAAATTCGCAAACTCAATTTACGGTCACTGGAGGCAGAAAGCTTCCTTATTGTGAGTCAACAACATACACTCACACATAGCTCAAATGAGCGACACAGAATACACGAAAAAAATTAACTTGGGCAAATATATCGAATTTTATGATCTGTAAATAATTTGCTGTGTATGTTGTGCTTATTTTTTGTTTTTCTTTTTTATGGCTGATAAACAGAAATGTTCATGCTACTGCTGTCAATATACAACAAATAGAATGAAAGAGTTGACAGCAACTGTCAGCACGTTGCGTTGCAATTGGCGTTGCTGGCGCACAGGGTCATTAAGACCCAGCAAAATAAATAAATAAAAATTGTGTAAATCAGAAAATGTAAGTGTATATTTTTGCTAGCTTCTCAGTAGAAAACTAACGGTTAATTGCTTGTTTTCCTATCAAGGAAAATAATGTTGTTTTATGCATCAAAAATGAAAGAAATTTGTCGCATCAATTTCCACCTCCTTGTGCCTTGCATTGTCCACTGTTGTTAATTTGAATTTGTTATTTATTTACCTTATTTCTCTTTTCATGCACTTCCTTATTTTTTTCAGCTGCTCGACCCGTTCCATCGGCTAATTAAATTTATGTTAATCGAATTTTTCTGTGCGCATTGTAATGCGAAAATATGAGAATTATTCGCAGTCCATAAATTTTGCAATGGATTTTCGAAGGCTTACTTGCATACAATGCAGTCATTGCAATAAAATTTTTGTATTAAAAGTAAAAGCATAAATTACTTTATTACTGAGCAAAAATAAAAAATGTTAACGATTATTACTTTTACAAAGGCTAAATATTTTTGAACAAAAAAAAACTAATAAAATAAGACTGAGCGTATAAGCATTTATCTTATACCCCTTTTACAGATAAACTATGCTTCAATAAGTTTAAAATAAAGCGAAAAAATTCAATTCAAAACTGACACTAATACAAATGCTATAAATGCACATCACCAAATGTATGCTTTAATATTAACACTAAATTAAATAAACGTGATAAGCAGCAGTTGAGGAATAAGATTTATATATATTAATAGAGCAATTCTGGCAACTCACCACAGTCTTTCGTAAGACGATTGTCAAATCTGGCAAGTATTTTACCAGCTCTAAGCTGTGCGCCTTCAGAAATAAGTTTTTTTTAAATTGAATTAAATTAAAAGAACAATAAAAACAAATAACTAAAAGACAGTTATATTGAAAATTAAAAATTAAATGAAAATAAAGCAAAAGTAAACTAAAATATTTTTAAAAATTAAATTAAATAAAAAAATGTCTTCTTAAAACAATAGAATTCACAGATTAAAGAAAAAGAAACAATTTTATTAAAAAATAATAAGTAGTACTTATAATTAAATAAAAATAAAAATAAATATTTTTATTTTTAAAACAATAAAATCCAAAAGAAAATGAAATTAGCAAAAGGAAAACGTATTAAATTAAAAAATATAAATACAATAAGTTTTTAAAAATAAATGAAATTAAAAAAAAAATTTTTTAACAATAATATCTAAAATTAAAGAAAATTCAACTCAGAAACGGAGAAAAAATATTTAAAAAGGAAAACATAAAACAAGTTCCTTGAAATATTCTTCTTTTTAAACCAATAACATCTAACCATTAAAAGAAAATTAAACAAAGAAAGAAAAAAAATTAATTCAAAAATTAAAAAATACATAAAACCAGTTTCAAAAAATTAAGAGACAATCACATTAAAAAAGAGAAAAATGTAAATTCAAAAAATCCCCTTTCCGAGGACTCGAACTCGGTTCATTCACAAGTCACACATGAGCTTTTCTCACTCGGCAACTGCGACTTTATAAGTGCTTTCACACAAAACAACTTTCCACCTGGAGTGATGAATGAGAGAGCTTTTTCCTAAAACTTGTGTGCTAACTAGAATAACAGAAGTCTTTCGAGCTATCGTGTCATCTGTCTTTCATTTGAGATATGTTATGGTACGATATGTTCAACGCATTTCACCCCAACTCACCACAGCTCTCATCCAACCTCACATCAACTCCTCTCAGTTCACCTTAACACACCTTACCCTAACTCACCTCCTTTCCTGTCAACTCAATATTTCTGGAAACCCTACCATTCCTAACAATTTCCAATAGTTCTAAGACATACATATTTGCTTACTGAGTAGAGGTGGAAAAGCATAAAAAAACGGCAAAAGGAGTAGTAAAAATTTTCAATATATCAAAAAACACAGGGTTCATAGGCCAGAAGTGCCGCTAACGATAAGCTTTCTTTTTTCAACGAGGGATATTGAAGTTAGATACAGAAGAAAAAAGCGGAGAAGGCATTGTAGACGATAGTATAGCGATTTCCTACGCATACAAACAATTAGTTCATACGCCGCATGCGAATTGCAGCCATCTTCAAAGTGGCGAATAGCTTAAGCTGCATACTTTTAGCCCAACTTTTTGCTGATTTTTCAAATGAGCAAATACAGCACAATACAAATAAATGTACATTTTTAATTTCAGAAAGTATTTTTTGCCAATTTCCAACTCATTTAAATATTCAAATTGTCTCAGTTGCTGACATATACCTGCTGCTTTGTCTGTTTAAATACCGCACGCAGACAAAGGTCTACCAACAATTGTCAATCTCCTTGCAACTTTTGGCAGTGTGTAACCAAATTTCTGTGATTTTATTACAACCAAACATTGGACTTATTCCAATAAGCTGAAAACCAATGCGTAGCCATGAACTTTAAAGCGAAACTTCACAGAAATTTGTGATATTTATTGGCGTTGTATTTTGTTTCACAAGAAATTGGATTGCCGTTAGCACCGAAAAATCAAAAAAAAAATGAAAATAACTGCATGCAAATTTCTATTCAGATAAATATCTATCTTCTTCATTTGAATATATGTAGATGTCTTAAAAAGGGAAATATGTCAGCGGAAAAAGCTAAAGGCTACCCTCAATCTTTTACACGTGTGTAACGCTGGCGCTTGTAACCTGCAAAATCATTTTAAAATCCGTGAAATGTTCACGAAAAAGTTGTTAAAATATGCTAATAGAAATGCTGTTCTAAATGTGTTTGCATGTAAGAGATGTGCAAATATGTACTTAAGGGGTGGCATGCAAATGATGGCGGCAGTGAGCTCCAAATTTATACTGAACGAACTAATTAAAATTTCAACGAGAATTCGTAGAAAAATCTAGTTAACTTAAGTTGGCTTACAATTAAATATGAGCTAATTGTTGTTTCGTTAATATTTTTTTGGCTGCAGCCATTTCGAGCCGAATAAAAACAATTATTGGGAAAAGTAAAATCATGTGCTGCCCAGCTACTAAAGCCCCAATTTAAGAAAGTGAAATGAACTTCTTATCAAAAAAAATTTTAAACATTTTTGAGATATTGCAATTCAATGCTATTGGAAATCTTTTTTCTAAAATATTTTTATTTCTTCTGTCTTGCTAAACATTTTATACAATTTTCGGAAAATTTAAAGAAAAATTTTATTTGCGAAACTCGAACGTAGTTTTAATACAAACTATGACATTACATAACAGGGATATAGCAATGCTTAAAATTGACGATAATTTTAGTTTAAATTTTGCCATGAGTGACATTTATTAATTAGTTTTTACTTAGTCTTTTTTTTATGCCCTATGTATTTTTGTAGTTTTTGCTTTGAGTTACTTTCGAGTTTGATTTTTGTTTTTAAAATATGATTTTTCGAATTTTATTTTTTTTCTGCATTAATATAAAATTAAAAAAAAAATCAAATCAGTTCTATAAAGATTGTTTGAATTTGCATTGGAACTACTTTTAGTATCTTAAAAAAATCTGAAGAGAGAATTTTGATATTCGACTAAAAAATACAAAGTTTTTCTGCTTCAAAATGTTTATCGAAACTGCATGGATTTCTTAAAATTGGGATTGAAAACTGATATTGAAAAAATTGCAACATAAGGCAATTTTAGATTTTTAATAAGTATAACCCGTCTACTCAATTTTTAAATAAAAAAAAAAATATTTAAGAGTAAATTTTATTCTTGCTTAGCGCATCGTAGATTTTGTTTTGTAATGAAATTTTAAGATTTTTTTGCAAATAAACGTTAAAAAAAACTTGTGGAATTCATTGTGTAAATGAAAAGTTATTAACCAAACGAATGATGGTGAACTTTCATAAAAAGTTAAATAAAAGTGAATATGCAATTTCGAAAAGAGCGGTAATTTAAAGTATTTACGAAAAAAAACGAATTATTTATACTAGAGTTGCGACTTTTTCAAAATTATTCGATACTTTTCATGGCGTCAGCACGGGATCTGAAATAAAGATGTAGCCTTTTCGCGCTTAATAAATAAGAGGAGCACACACATAGATAACATTGATATGAAAAAATTTATTTATGAAATTATGCGAAATGTTCTTTTTTTGAAATTTCATATAAAATTTTGGTTTTGGTTTGGTTTATTTAAATTTTAATAAAGCTTTAAATTTGTATGGAAGTTTTAAAAAAAAAATTTCAATTTTCATACGCATTTGTTCAAACGAGGTATGGGTTTCTACCTTTTATCAAAACCTATCCTACTTTTATGATTTCTTCTGTTAGTACTGTTATTGTTCATAGCCATCCTAATGTTTAGTTCAACATTTTTTTGTGTAACTGTGTACTGTATTAGAACTGTGGCCATAGCTGCATTAATGCTTCAATTATTTTGTTAATTTTACTTCACTTACCAATCATCAGCGCCATGTAGACGGAGAAATTTGTTTGACTGCCTACAGAAATTATTTTATAAGCCATAATTAACCTCTTGGCAAGTGCTTGGGGTTACGTAAATACTATAATTGCTTCCTTAGTTCAACTTCACGCTATTCATTTTGAAAGCAGGGATGCTAGCCTTATAAGCTGAAAAGATAAGAAAATTAAATCAATGGAAAAAATAGTTAACAGCGATTTTGATGGCATAAAATTCAAAAATCAAGTGATACCAATAACTAATGCCAATAATTCCGTGCAACTAAAAATCAATGTAAGTACTCCCAAAAGTGGTTAAATAAACTAAATACAATTTCATTTCTTAATTTTTTTTCGGGAAATTTTTGGTACCATTTTTGCCCCTCCACACCAGCACACTTAATCGAGAAGATTACAATTTAGACAGCTCTTTTAATTATGACGCTTTGTAAACGCAAACACACACACACAAACAAAATTTCGGCCAAATATTTTCGAAATTGCGGCAAATACGCCCGCCGCTCTGTGTTTTATTGCCCGAACTCCTCTGTAAATATTGTACAAACTACATTCTAAAATTAATTCCAGCACACCAACCTCTTCCCATTCCTGACACTAAGCAATTTTCACTTAATCAATTTCACGGCGTTTCGTTTATGCCGCCGCCAACATCGCAGAGTGCAGCCGCACGCAATCGCAATGAAAACAATTAAAACAAACGCATACGCCCCGTCAACCCGCGGCGGTAAAACACAAAAATGTGCCCCCGGCTAGATCGAAAGAAAACACCAAAAACAATGGCAACAACAACTCGACTAAGTAAATCGAGTAGCTAGCGAAATGGCGAATGAAAATAGAGGCGATTGTTTTGCTTAGTCACATTGAGAAGTGGGTGGCTTCTGCTGCTTCTGCCGAAACTGCGGTCGGCTACCGCGTCTGCCGACAGCCGCCGGCCTTGCTCATCTGCAAGATATCGCGTCTGTTGCTAGCAAATAATCCCATCAACGGCAGCGCTTTATAGACTACAGCTTGCTACAAAACACACATACGCACATGGAAATCTATGCTGCACCGCAAAGTATGCGCCCATTATTCTTTCAATACTGTGCTATTTTTGACCTTTTATAAAACATTTTTGTTTAGATAAATTTTTTGTGCTTCGCTATTTGAATTGTTGCTTTTTGTGTTAATTAAAACAAATCAAGAAATCATTGTGTTTGTTCTTAATGACTTTCTGCTGTTCTTATTTTTTTTTTTTTACCGCTGTTTATCTGGATTTTGCGGATTTCCTTTTATTTGATTTTTTCTTGATAATTATGCTTTTTTTATTGTTCTATTTAGTGCTTCATTCAAGTGCATAGATGATTAATTTTTTTTTTTATTTCGCTGAATACAAAATACTAAAATTGTGATAATGTTTAAAGTAGAATTAAATCCGCTTTTCATTTTCTTAGCTTCTTCATCCATTCTCTTTTTTGTTCTTAAAATTGTTATTTCGTCTATTTAGTTATGTTTCTTCTTCTTCCTGCACTATTTTTCTATTTTTCTCTTCATCTCCTCTTTTTCTTATTTTTCTTCTTACTCTCTTCCCCTAACTCGTCCTCTTCCCGACTTGGTCATTCGTATTTTTTCGTTTTCCAATAAAAACATTTTCGTCAATTTTAGAAGGGGTGGACTAGTGGGTGGTCTAGTACTCTCCTTGCATATACATAGTTGATAGTTTGGTCCTATAAAAAACTAATTAATAATAGAAAATAGTTAAATAAACAATTGGATATTATTATTGGAAGTCTCTTAAAGAGAAACGAAGTTTTCCGATCAAAAAATATTGATTTTCAAGAATTCTATACCATTTCTACGAAAACTTGTTTTTCCCATATAAAATACATGGAAAACTTTGAGCGACCTCTAAATATGGTTTTATTTCAAAATAGAAAAAAAAAACCGGGGTAAATTTTTTTCGATATAGAACAATCCTAGGGGGTGAGAGCACTTTTCCCCACATGCATTTTTGGACCACCCTAATGTACATTCATAGAAACCCATTGAAGCAACAAAATTTCAACAAGCTTTCATTACATTTTCAACAGCATTCTTTTGTTCGCACACCACAAATATTGTCTTGAAACAAGCAATTTTTAAGCAAAAAAAAACTGACTTCAACTTTCATATAAAAATTTAAGATTATTGTTAATTTCCAATGATCCAATGATCGGATTTAAACCAAATTAGTATGGGACCACCTGTGAGGTACCACCTTTTCTTTAAAAAACGAATTATAGAAAACGGTTAACGTGGTCCCAAGTTATGCGGTAACATATGTATATAAAAAAAAAAAATATTCCGATGAATTGATAAACTTCTCCTTTTTGTGAAGTCGGTTAATCAATCTAAATACATAATTAATTGACTATCTATGTATTCCCACTTCATGAATAAATACTACAAACATAAAACAATCAGTCATTCGTCTACAATGACACGGCCGCCTACGAGCGTATCACTTATTTATTCGTACAAAGACCGTAGAGCCTGTTTTCTGAGCTTTAATGACCCTCATTTGCTTACACTAATATTTATCACTGTGTAACTGCTTTCTTTATTTGCCCATTTCTTTGATTGAATTATTCTCTTTTAAGATAATATTCATTGAATTTGGAAATATTTTAGCGCGTATGATTGATTGATTATTTTGTGTATAATTCGAAGGAAATAAAAATAAATAAATTGATTGGCATAAGTGGAATGGAATATGAATGAGAGAAAACAAGTAAGAGCAGCGCTGTCTTCGGCTATGCCGAAGGCTTCATACCTTTCATGAACATCAGAAAATCTTACTTTAACAGATTAGTGCATTTGAAAAAAAATTATATATTCACAGTGTGCATAGATGAAGGAGTTACATTATATATATTCGTCATTATTATATGTTCGTCAAGAACATTTACTGTAGAAAAATATTCGACGTTAATATTTAATTATTATTAAATAACAATATTATGACTTTTAAGTTAAGGCGTGCCAGCTGACTGTGTACGGTGCTACGGTGCATACATAACTACGTGTATATGAGCACGAGTTGGTATTAGGTGTATTCACGATCCGGTGCAAACTGTCTAGCATGGAGCATAGATAGCGTAAATAGCATGATTGGCTAATTTTGTTGTTGCTTCATGTGCTCAAACGCCATAAAAATTAGCCAGCCATGCTATTTATGCTATCTACGCACCATGCCAGACAGCATGCACCGGATTTTTACTTTTTGAGTATATATTTCTTAAGTTTTCATTTAAGTACAATTTCGCAATGGATCTTGTTTTTATGCGACACTGAAGATAATGCATTGCCTAAGAAAAGTTTGCCACCATTTTCGACCAAAAATACGTTTTTGTCGAAAAATGTAACAACTCGTGAGATATACTCGCACATGGCGTATGAGTAACATTTTTCATGTAAAATTTTGATTTATTTCCATACGCAGAGCAAATTTAAAATGAAAATATCTTGAGAAAATGGTAAAATTAAGTTTCCGTGCCTTGGCGATTTTTTATGTCATTTTAACGTCCCTACCGTGTAATATGCGGCAACACCAAACAAATGGAAAAGTTATTAGTATGTTTTGAAAAATTTATGTGATGAAATTTTTAAAACATATTTTTTGCAGCTCACCACCTAATACCAACCCCAATTGCTAATTAGGGTTTTAAAGGGAAACCCATCGCAGGCTTGTGTAATTAGATATCGGAAGTTGCTCAAACATCTATTAATGCATACTTTTGGGCGCACTATTTCCACACCGAACAACTAAGGTGTAAAAATTTGCTCATTATGAGAACAAATTAATTTGCCAGAGTTCGGAGAAAATCTTCTATCCCGCTCCTCTTTTCTATTACATAAAGGTCATGCACCGTGGCATCTAAACTAAAATGATGATACACTGATTGGACACTTATATTAATTGCAAAATCAAAACACACTCAACCACATAAATAAAACAAAATATTTATGTACGTTCAACTTGTTCTATGAACAAAACAGAAAGTAGGTAAAGCAAACATTCCCTAAAGACACCGAAATACCACACACACATTCACAATATCTTAAGGGCTGTGACTACCATTCACTCGTCCTATTAGAGGCTTGGTGGTGCAGATCCTTATCACAGTGAGATCAGTTACGGTTATTTGCTGTAGCACAGTGGCACATTAACACCCCAATTTCGTTCAAACCCAATCACATTTAATTACATTTACTGTCCACAGTGGCAAAAACCAATGGACAGCACGAAAAGCGGGAAGTCAAAGCTGAGAGAAGCGATAAATCAAATTACAAATATGTATGTATGTACATTAGGCATATGGCTTTTTTTCTGAAATTATTATGAGGAATTTTCATATGCATTACCGATAACGCATATATTTACTTTAATACATACCTATGGATATATACACATGGAAAATTCCTAATCAACGGAATAAAAAAAAAAATGAAACCACTTTTTGATCGCAGTCATAATTTGTTTGTCTTGCATACATGAAGACATATCGCTAGTTTAGAGTGAAAAGTTGCTAAGTCCAGTTATTTTTAAAATTTTTCAAACTCATTTTCTTCAAGCACGTGTTTTGCAAAAGTTTTAATGCAACGTATCAAATTTTTTTTTTTTTCTTTAGGAACCATGACATTTTCTGTGGCTAATTTGGACTTAGCAAATTGTCGTATCGCTGAATAAAAGCGGTTAGAAATAAAATATTTAGTCAGATCTTTGAGAAAACGATGAATTTTTGGCATCAAAATCCAATTTTTTATTTTTTTTTAAATAGTGGACTTAGCAACTTTTCACTCTAAGCTAGCGATATTTACATATGTATGTATGTTTTCTTTTGATTTTCAGTACTAAAATTTTTGATCGGTTATTTTTGTTTCGGTTTTCATCATTCCGCGTTTTCTCCTCATACCTTGGTATATTTAATTTTAGAAAAAAAGTCATATGCCTAATGTACACACATACATAAATATATGTATAAGTCCTTGTAGTAGCTGTGAAATGAACTCTAAGGCATTCAAGGCCATTACAGGTTTATCAGAAAAACCAAAAATTTTTACGTGCAAATTTTTAGGTGCGTTAAATTATATTTGTAACACCTACACACGCAGTCCCATTTGTCTATTTG